TTGCATTGGCTTGGGACCAGCTGCTGGTTGCTACGACATATTGGGTGCCAAGCGTCTGGCGTATGCTGGAAGGCTGGGACCGGCCAGAACTAAGACGATCAAGGCGGGATGGGTCCCACCTGCAAAGAGGCGAAGATTGGGGCCAAAATTGCAAGCTTGGTTGGCGGCGTCGAGATGGGCTAAGCACTGCATGGCGACGAGAACAACGGTGTGTAACATGTCGCAGCAGTGGAGAGTGGCGGACGCAGTATGCGAGTTGTCGAATGATCAGCACAGACGCTCCGTGGATATTTGGATCGAACTGCAGCGTTTCTTTTCGAGAGTACGCCGACGCAGGGGCGCGCTGCAATGCCTCGACGAGTGGGTAGTCAAGTTCGTTACGATGGGCCCCGAGATATTTTGGGTCGATATCTTCGCGGAGGATGTCTATGAGATCGTGGAAAGGGCCGACGCCCAGCATCAGGAGAAGGTAAATTAAGGCTTTGACGGGTGGAAGCAGCGGGCGCAGGACTCCTTCCCAAAAAGGGGCTGGAAGGGCACGCCGCTACACAAAAGTGCAAGTGGCGCAAGAAAGGCTGGAACCCCGATGGCCTGATGAAGAAGTGCCGGCCCCAAGGGGACCGGCGGAGGAGGCCATGGACCCCTGGGAAAACATCTGGAACCGACATCAGTTTATGCCCATGGAAGTTCCTGGAGATGCACATAGTCGGCCAGAGTTACATCGGATCACGGTGCGTATGATGATTGACGCGATTTCGACCTCTCCTGATCATGCGGCGGTTGGGCAAACTCGTATAGCGCCGAAGACCTCATTGCAGTTGTCTTTCGTGGGATTGCGCACTATGGCGGGACTTTTCATGAAATGCGAACAATTTCTTACGTGCCCATCGGCAGGAATCTGGAACATCATGGTGCGGTTGTCAAAGCCTGGAGGAGAATGCCGTTTGATCGCGTTGATAAATGCCCTGGTGCGAACAGGGGACGTGTGCGATCGGATATTTCCAAGAGTTGGCTGGTGAGCAATCCGTCAGCAGATCTTTGGGGGTGCGGCACTGGCAGATCTTCGACAGACTGTGCATTGCACAAGCGGAGTTGGCGATTGCATCGGAAGAGTCGAGTGACACGGCCATGTTAGATGCGCGCAAATGCTACGAGTTGGTTAAGGGCGACCTGCTCTTCCTGGAGGCCAGGGAGCTTAAGTGTAACTTGAGGCTGCTCTGGATGTTGCTACAGGTGTATCACATGCCCCGATGTGTGTAAGCGTTCGGCTCGCTGAATAGAACGGTCACCACAGCGCGAAGTATGTTGGCTGGGTGCGCGCATGCCACTGCTATCTTACGTGTGCTCCTCTGGCGGGTGCTGGGGGAACTACGAGGGCCATCTATTACACCGCGAAGGCTGGTGCATGAAATTGCGGTGCTGTGGGCGGGGTGCATCCAGGAGGGTGGCGACGAGATCTGGAACGCGGTGGCGGTTTTCAAATGGACAGTGCTCAAATGGGGCCTAATTGTTGAGACGGACAAGTAAGGTTTTCTGGGGTCTTCCCATCAGGTTGCCAGGAAGTGCAAAGAAAGGTCAAGCAGGACAATTGGGCATCGAACATTTGCATTGGATTCGCAATCTTGGTCGTGAGTTATGTGGTGGTAAGCGCACGAGGACGCAGCTTAAGATCAGGATGCAGGGCGCGATGGCCAGAACAACTCGGCTCATGCGACTTCGTGGGGCGGTTGGCGGCAGATCATGGAGCGGGGGTCTCAGGAGGCAGCGACCAACGCCTGCAGCAGCTACGGGGGTTTGCTGGCAGTCTGGCAGGTGCTAGGATGCATGTGGGCTTCGCTGACAGCGTCTTTGATTACGCAAAAGAACAGGTACTGCGATCCGATCTTCGCAGCCGCGGTTGGCTTGGCGACGCGATGCGCTGGGTCGATCTGGGATCAGAGATGCCCCTCGGGCAAACTTGAGAGGGCCTGGCAGTGCATGTGTGCTCGATTTAGAGAACGGCCAGGAAGTATCATCACATGGTCCATGGTCAGAGGGCCAATTGCTGGGGCTTGGTGCGGTCTCAACTGGATGGGCTGAGACGTGCTATCTTCGGCGATGGTGCTGCTTCCTACATGCTCTACATGCCCGCAGGAAGTGAAGAGGCTACTTCGAGGAATCGAACGATGGGAGCACAAGAAGCAATGATGCCACCACAACGTCGGCACCAGCGTTGGCGCGCCATTCTGGCGTAGGGTCATGAGGGCTATTGTGGCGGGATCCAAGGCGGCGGTCGGCAAGGCTTGCCAGGCTGGCTGTATTCGGGCGCTGTGGAGTGGCGCGCCGCGGACGCAGTCACCGATGTATCCCGTGGGCCTTGCTCGAGAAGAATCTTGTCGCGTGTGCCAGTGGCCCCCTGATGCGCCAAGGCATCGATTTCACGCGCGCCCTGGGGTTATGGATGGGGTGGGCCAGAGCGAGGGATCAGAGCTGCCTGAGACGCTGCTAGAAGTGCAGAAGTGGCTGGAGGACAAAGGGTACCATAATGGACAAGGCAAACCTGACTGCGAGACGCTGGGGCTATCGGTAGGACTACCAACGCTACCGCCGCCTGCTGACACCCCTGTTACTCAAGCGCTAGTCTTCCTCTGGGGCGACTGGGCGTCAGACGCATCCGGATGGTCGGGTGCTATCTTCACTGATGGATCTGGGCATGGGTCTTCTATTTCTGAATTATGCAGGTGCGGTTGGTCAGCGATGCAAGTGCATGAACAAGTGAGGAAGATATTCAGTACTGTGAAAAGGGAGGCAGCCTGCAGTCGCTTGGACGTCAGCACATAAGGACGTCGACGAGTACCTGCAAATGGGTTTGCATCCTATACGGTGGCATGGCAATTTGTGGGCAGACTACTTCGCAAAGGAAGGAACACTCACGCATCGAGCGTCGAGAGTCTTAACGGACATCTCCCAGGCGGAATTGAGGCACCACCAGAAGTTCAACCAATACTTCTCCCGTGTCATGTAATAGATGGTCATGGAAGGTGCTTGGAAAAGGACCCAGATCTACTACCGAAGCCACGGAAGTTTCGGGCGCCACTGCAGTTGGCCATGCGGGAGCATCGATTCGTGGAGCTGAAGGGCTGCTACATGCGATGCATGCGATGTGGCAAGGGCGCGAAAAGGACATAATATAAAGGCCAACCTTCAGTCGACTACTTACGTGCCGACGGAGCTCGGGCGCTTCAGGTGTCAAGCCCAGATCGACTACGTTGGTCAGGCAGAGATCCCTACTAGACAGTTCGAGGCAATGACCCATGCAATGCTAGGAGCTGACCGAGTGTTGTGGGGAAGACCTACGATGGTGGAGGACGTGTTCGAGGAGAGGAGCTCGCACTGTCTTTTCAACGCGGGTCGGCGTGCCGAAGGTGTTTTTTGTCGGCGAAGCCTCTTCGTGCTCGTCAGAATTATTGCAGCGATGTGTTGGAGGCCAACTGTTGTGTACTACCACTGCCTACGGCAAGCAGAACGTGAGGAAGCTGGAGCGTCTCCTCGATGGTCGGTACCCAGTTTCGGGAGCAGTGCTGAAGCCCGTTGAGGCCGGTTCGGCGACCTGATCGACAGGATACCTTTCTCAGATGGCCACGCCCCCTTCGTTGCGGCGGATGTGCGTGAGCACTCTTCTGGCGGGCTGATGGTGTCAGCCCGCTTGGCGGCTGAGGGGGTGTTGAGGCCCTTTCATACTCGTACGAGGTCAAGCACCTGAGCTGCCTCCTTTCTCTTTTTTGCCGCACCCCCTTCGTTTCAGCGGATGAGCGGAAGCTCTCGTCTGGTGGCTGACGGTGTCAGCACACTTGGCCGCTGAGGGGGTGTTGGGGCCGTGCAATTATATACGTGGTCGCGGATGTGGCGGCCGTCTCTTCTGGCCACACCCCCTTCTTTGCAGCGGGAACGAAAGCTCTCTTCTGGTGGCTGATGGTGTCAGTACACTTGGCCGCTGAGGGGCTTCTGGGGCCTTCGTGCTCCCAGGAGGTCGTGTACCTGAGCGACCTCGCAGTACTGGTTTCTGAATATTGATGATGTCTGGAGATTGTCTGGGTAATTTATATTTGTTTTTTTGATGGTGGTTGTGAGAAGTACCTCTGGTCTTCTACGACGACCACATGTACTGGGTGTTCGCGCCCTGAGGGCCGCGGCTGGCGGCCAGGTGGACAGACGATGAACTCGAGCGTGCCCGTCTTCGGGCTCTCCGATGCGCTCGCGGAGGAGGAGGAGGAGGAGGAGGAGGAGGAGGAGGAGGAGGAGGAGGAGGGGGAGGGAGGACCGAGGAGACTTTGGACGTTGGTGGGGCGTCTCTGAAAGTCCTTTGTGGTTCGTTTCCTCTAGGTGGTGGCGACCCCCTAGTCATCCGGAGATCCAGCACTGCGAAACAGTTGCGACATCGCCAGAAATCACGACTGGAGCCCTGCACCCATCTTTCTGCGGCATTTTTCGAGCCGGATCGATCTGTGAGGGACCCTGGGCTCGCAACTGGGCGGAAACGCCCAGCGTGAAAACACAGCACGGCCGAATCTGAGCCCAGCCATGCGAGGTCTTGATTTCCAATACGCGGTCGCCATCAATCCCGATCCTTTCCCCCTGGTCTTCACCCGAATTGTTCTTTGATTGTCCTGGTGCCCGGGGAGGGCCCCCAGAGGCCGAAAATGGGGGAAAACCGTCCGTCGTGATTTTTTCACGACGCGAGCATGTCTGGGAGGGGACCCCCTTTTTGAACAGGGACCAGCCGTCCAGGCATTGCTGTAGGCGTGCCACGACATGTCCGTGTAACAAAAGAGTGCTCCAGGAGCGAAAGCAATGCTCTTAGGACATCAAGCCGATGCATTCAGACAAGACGGTCTCAGCCAGACATGTTCCGAGAACACTTCGTGGAAGCCACCGAAGGCTCTTAAGGACCTTCTCTGGCGGGCCTGCAGGCAGGCTGGGACGCCTCGCCACTGCTTGACCTTTGGCGGTGCCCGGGGGGCCAGACTTTTGAGAGCTCGGGGAGCGCGGCGCCGCGGCGCCGGGAGCGGGCGGCAGCCGCTGCAGGATCTCCTCGAGGTATGCTGCTCCCATCGGTGCTTCAGGGCCACATCCCAGACATGATTTCGAGCGTCCAGAGGAGTATCGAAGCAGTGTCGAACGAGCATCGCCTCCCGGGGCCCGACACGTACAAATCCCCTCAAGCCTTGGTACCTTTCTGGGTGCTCGCAAGTCTTTCTTGTGGCCAAAGCTGCAGTAGGTTGGAACGTCCCAATCCTCGAGCAGGAGGCCGTGCTCGTGGAGCGTGCCTATCACCACGGCGTCCGCCGCCTCCCAGCCTCCCGGGGCGTGCGCGGCGCCCCTGTGGCTTGCGGGGGGGGGGGCGCTGGCCTCCGCCCCCTGCATCAGCTCCTGGAGCTTCGCGCGGCCTGCTTGGATCGGCGCTGGGCCCCCCTGGTGTTGTGCTGCTGCCCTCGCACTCAAGGACCACATCCCAGACATAATTTCGAGCTCCCAGAAAAGAGTGTCGAAAGAGTGTCGAAAGAGTGTCGAAAGAGTGTCTCCCAGGGCCCGACACGTGAAAACCCTCGAGTTTTGGGGTGCGCTCGAAATTCTTTCTGGTGGTCAAGGCTAAAGTAGGTTGGAACATCATAACCCTGGTGGCGCCTCCAGCGCCGCCCCTGGCGCGCGCCATCTTGGAGGACATCGATCAAAGAAGAGGGGAGCTCCTTTTAGCCCTGCCCACCCCAAGAGGCCCAAATGGAGCCAAAACCATAGTAAAACATATGATGCTGGCTTCCTTTCCGAGGCCGCTTTGGGCGCTCTAACCACTCGCGACCGGCGCCTGGGAGGGGGTTCCAGCGCCGCTCTAGAAGTACGCGCCGCGCGCAGCTCCGACAATTTGTGCCGATGCTGTCTCTTCCTCGACGGACGCCTCAAACCTCGCTCCCCCTGGAACCTGCGGCCAGGAACTTTTGCTGAGCGGACAGCGTGTCGCTCCACTCCGCGGGGCAGGAGGCTCGGGCAAACTTGGGACGTTGACGCTTGGGACTGGGGATGTGGATAGCGGGTCGCGCCGAAGCGTGGTGGGCCAGGACCGGCGGCGCGACACCGCAGGCCAAAAACTTCCTGACCGTGTGCGCCCTCAGAGCTGGGCTGTGCAAATGTTTCACTCGGGGATGGACAAATCTCCCTTTAGTAAACCTCCCCTTAGTGAAAACGGCCTGGGACCGAAACCGACGGACCTGGACCCGCAAACACGACGGCCGCGACGCCCTCGCGCGAACCGAAAACGGCCAATTCCTTAATCGACGTGTCAGGGTAGGAGGTCTATCCACCTCAGATTCACAACAGGCGTTGTCGCCTGGTTTTGGGCCCCGGGGCCTGCACAGGTCGATTCGGGTAGAAAAACGGCCTAGAAAGATGGGGTCCAAGGCTCTGGTCGTGCTGTTTCGCGGCGTAGCAACTTTGTCGCAACGCCAGATCGCAGGGCAAATCTTGGTTGGACCTTTCTCTGCCTGGGAGGTCTGTGGCGATGTGCTGTTTTGTTTTCGATCCTGGCGCTTTTGTCTCTGATTTGCCGTTTCTGGGCCACGGGACCACCAACACATGGATCGGAAGCGGAAGCGGTCGGGACCTCTGGGGCCGGGGGTGGAAACAATTTTTTGATTCGCGGGTCGAGAGCGCACCTCTTCCGGTCGAAGCTAAGCGGGCCGCGCGAAGCTTGAATTAACCAGAGATGGGGGAGGAAAAGGCAGGCGCAGCCTCAGAACGAGGCCGGGAGGAGGCAAAGCCTCGGAATTCGGGGATGGAAGCAATCAGATCGGCGGATGTCAGACGTCTTCCAAGACGTCTGGCGGCTTGGACAAACCAGAGCCGCTGTTCTTCCACTGCTTTCTGGCCCCGTGGGCCCAGTTTCAGGCCCCAGTTCGGCGGCAAGGTCGACCGGGGATGAATGACCAGCTCCGCGGAAGGGGTCGCGGGGTCCAGGAACCCATTTCTCGAACAAGTAGGCCGCTGGAGGTGTGGGATTAGCCTGGCCAGGATGCTAGACGACGACGATGACGACGACGACGACGCGCTTCGCGCTGCTCGAAGCGCGATTGCCTTCGCCCTCCCACGCCGCGCCCCTCTTCGGAGGAGTGCTCCTCTGACCCAGGCCAGGAGGCGCGACGTGGACACTTGGTCAGGTATCGATTCTTTGCTCTGGAGACGACACCGGGACGAGGATGACATCGGGTACTGTAAGGATAAATCGAGAACCGCTGAGATCCGGCAGATCTGGAAGATGTCTCGGGCGCCGCGGCCTTCTCAGAGCGTTCTGGAGCGCTCTGAGAGCGTTCCAGAACGTTCTGGAACGGATTTGTCCTCGTCCTAGCCCCGTCGAAGTTCTCCTTCATCACATCCCCTCCAGCGCGCTCCTGGTGCGTGTGGCCCATGTCTCCTCGAGTAGCGTGGAGTCTCGCGACTGGGGTTCTCCAGCCCTCTCACGGCCCGGACACAAACATGGGCTCAAACTGAAACCGACGGATTCTCCCACGGCTGACAAGAAATCCACACGCCGGCCGACCGCGACCAGACCAGGGAGCGAAGGGGGGTGGAAGGTTAACGCCCCCCCCCTCCCAGACCTCAGACGTCGTGACTCTTTTTGCGCGTGGCCCCCGCGAGGCTCCGAGCCCCCCCTGGGCTCCTCGTGGGGCACCCGCCGCTCGTCCAGGGTAGCTTAACTAGGGAAACCGAGCGGCACCGATACCGCTCCTCTCCGGACCTCTCCTGGGGTGCGTCCTGACCAGAAGTCCAACGCGGTGGCGACGAGGGCCTCCCGAGAGGCCCCCCCCCCAAAGGGCGAAGGCGGAGCGAGGGGAGCGGTATGGGGTGCCCTCGCTTCCTCGGAGCTCTTCGGCGGCCCCGGGGGGGAGCCGGGAGCGGACCCCCGAAGGCCCAGGCACGGGGACAAGTCCGCCGTCGTCGTGTTCTCGGCTCAAGACGTCGGGGGTCTGGGCCCCGACACCTCTCGGCGTTCGGCGCCAGCTGCAGCTCCCGGACTCGGGGGGGGGAGGGGTCGGCGTGCGGCGCCGGCGGCAGCTCCCGGCCTCGGGGCGTGGGGGGGTGGGGATGGGGTTCAGGAGGAGGAGGAAGAGGAGGAGGAGGAAGAGGAGGAGGAGGAGGAGGAGGAGGAGGAAGAGGAGGAGGAGGAGGAGGAGAGGGAGAGGGTGGATGTGAATAAGCGTCATAATGCTAATGGTAGTGACGACGGTGACGATGACGACGACCGCGATGGTTATGATTGGTCGGGACCTTGGTGCGCCACGGGATCTGAAGGACGACGGCAATCCACCAGCCTGCCGCGCTCGAGCGGGGCCGCTGCTGCCGAGAGCGCGCGCAAACCCAGCTCCCCGCTTGGCCGCACGGGCCTCGGCACACGCGAAGGCCTCGGCCCGCGCGCGACCCGCCTCCCGCCGCCGGAGGGGGCCACGGCCACAGCGGCAGAAGCGCGCAGCGGAGCACACCATCAGGCCCGCCTGCTGGGGAGCCCATGCAGGGCGTGCGCGTCCCGCAGCAAACTCACATCCTCTGCCCTTTCCGCGGCCTCTGGTGCACAATGCCGCTGGCGCCAGGTGGCCGACAGCCGCGTGCCACCCGACGCCGTACACACGGCTTGCGAGCACGCATGCGCAGCGCAGCGCACGCGACCCGCAAACACCCTGTTCTGGTTCCTATGGCGGAAGAGGTTTGCCCGTCACCTGCCCGTGCTGCCGCAAGCTTCTACTGATTCATATTCGTCGGTCCTTCAAGGGAAACGGCCTCCTCCTTCACCGCGGCCGTCCAAGTGGCTCGTGTCCCCCGCGTGTCGTGCGTCGCAGCACAACCAGGCGACCCGAAAATGGCGGCCGGCGAGCGCCGCGGGCGCACAAGAGGCGGCGCAAAACTGGCACAGCGGCAGCGGCAAGGCCAACCGGAGGGACCTCGAAGGCCACGACCCTGCGCCCGCCGAGACGCAGTGGGCCGACATGTTGCTGCGGCAGGCGTGCACGGGAAAGACGAAGAAGGAGCCCAAGCAGCGGCCCTGTGGGCGCGCGGCGCACCTCTCGAAACCCTCGGCGCCGATGAGGGTCCGTCGCTGCGCGGCCGTCAGCTCGCCGCTCCAGAGCCCCGAGCAGCAGCCAGTCTGCAGCAGGCCACGCCCTGCAGGACCGCCACGCGCGAGCACCCAGCGGCGGCCCCCTCGACGACCTTGCCGTGGAACGGCCGAGTGGTGGCGACGCCGACGCCCATGATGCGGCTGGCCACACGCATGAGGAGGAGGGAGGAAGGGGGATGGAGGATGCACTGCGAGTTTACACGCCGAGCATATGAACGAATTGACATGTGGGCCACAACTTACAAGTCCTCGCGAAGCTTTTTCGGGGGGGCTCTTTGATCTCTTGCAGCCCCTCGCGCTGGTAGTTGGCGAGGTGCGCTGCTCATGTGGTATCGGCGTCGCAAGGCTCGAAAACGAGCCTCGGAACCCTCTGCAACCAGCAGCCGCATTTGCTAAAGGCACTGTAAAACAACTTTAAACCCAAGTCATGGGTATCATGCGCCTGCCTGCCCGCTACGCCAAATTGTGCTGTGCTCGGACAGGGAGATCGGTGGTACCGAGGCGTTCCCAGCAACTCTCGTCGACAACCTCGCCGGTTACATAAATTGGAACGACTTCCGTCAGCCTTGCGCGCACCCCAGAGGTCCCCCAAGGCCCTCGTCGCAGCGGCCGCGCAAGGCGAACTGGCGATGCGAAGGGTTCCTTTGGACTTCCGCTTGGCACTTGCAACGACCCTGGGGTCTTCTGCCATGGGATGGCACCACTGCGTGCGATAAGCCTTCGATGAGAAGCACCATGGCCGCCCTCCGCCTGATGGACTGCAAAATAAAAATCGCGCGAGCTTCCCGCCAGGGTTCCGTGGCAGTGCGCACTTCCACGCTGGCGGTGCCATTGCGTCTCGGACTGCCCGCCGCCTGGTGGTCGACCAACTCGTCCGCATCCTGGGCCGCACGCGGCGGTAATCGGCACAACTCCGCCCTGTGAGAGGCAAGGGCGTCGGCGATGCAATGAGCATTCGCCGATTCTGTATGAACCACGGAAAAGTGCTTGATGAACTTGGCCTCGTCGTCTGCCAGGCTACCCGGAATAGTTTGTGGGTTTCCAGCGCAACTTTGAAGTGGTGGGAGCGGGCACAACGGCATGATGACAAGCCAGGCGACGCAATCGCGACGCCACTAAGCAGCCTCAAACGCTATGCCCACGAACGGCAATGAAGCGTCAAGCCATGTAGAATGGCTGTCATGCGAGCGATGGCTTGTTTAGGCTGTCACTTTGCGCCAGAAGGCCACTGCTGAGAGGCAGGGGCGCGCAAACGTGGGACGCTGTGCGTCCAGGGGCGCTGGGCGTGGGCACGAGCGACCCCGCAGCGCACGTACACAACGGAGGAGGAAGAAGGGGGGGGAGGAGGAAGAGGAGGAGGAAGAGGAGGAGGAGGAGGAGGAGGAGGAGGAAGAGGAGGAGGAGGAGGAGGAGGAGCAGGAGGAGGAATAGGAGTAGGAGTAGGAGTCAAGCTAGCCAGCTCGAGCGATTCAAGCATGGCATGCCCATTCCCACCCGCCCTCCCACTAAGAACCAGTGCTGGCGCAACTGGGGACCAACATCAAATCGGCAAGGTGGTTTGCCACAGCTGATGCAACCGCGATGGCGGTTACCGATAAGAATCCCTGGCGTGTCTCAAAGACTGCGCTGGCATTTCAACACGAGCCGAGGAGGCCCCAGGAAACCTCAGGAGGCCCCAGGAGGCCTCAGGAGAAACCCCAGCGACCCCCAGGAAGCCCCAGGAGGCTTCAGGAGGGGCCAGGAAGCCCCAAACAATTCCAGGAGGTTTCAGGAAGCCCTAGGAAGTGTCAGGTAACCCCAGAGGAATCCCAGGAAGCTCCAGGATTCCTCCGGAGGCTCCAGGAAGATCCGCGAGGCCCTGGGGAAGCCGTGGGAAACCCCAGGATGTCCCAGGAGACCCTGGGAGGCCCCAGGGGGCTCTAGGTGCTCGACGAGTTGGCGAACGAAAAATGTGCGCCGCGCCAAGGCGGAAACGCAACTTTCAGAAAATATGCGCGCGGCGCCGAAGCGAGAGTGACATGTCGCCCTGTCGCGCGCGATGTGCACCGCGCCCCCTTCCAGGCACGCATTTCGCAAAGCCGGCGACAGGAAAATCCCCACTGAGAAGCAACATGGCGACTTTGTATTGTTTTTGACAGGTAGGATGGCCCTTCCCGCTTGGGGTTGCCCCAGACGTCCGCGCGCGATGTGCGCCGCGTCCCATTCCTGCTGCGCATTTCGCATCGTCGACGACAAAAAAGGCCATGTTGAGAGAAAAACGACGACTTCGTTTTGATCTTTTACAATTAGCATGGGAGGGCCCGGATGGACGGCCGCGCGCGATGTGCGCCGCGCCCTATTCTTGTTACGCATTTCGCACCGTCGACGACAATAAAGGCCGTGTTGAGAGAAACGATGACGACACATTTGTATGGCTTTTATTATTTTACAGTTCGGATGGGAGGGCCCGGATGGAACCCCTATCGGCTGGCCAGAAGGGGAATTAAGAGTATATTCGAATAGGGAATAAAGTAGGAATAGGAAGAGGAGGAGGAGGAGGAGGAGGAGGAGGAGGACGAAGAGGAGGAGGAGGACGAGGAGGAGGAGGAGGAACCATGGAGCCATGGAGAACGGAGAAGCGAAACCCGCGCGAGAGAACTGCCTCACAAAGAATACTGCCCCATCGCGAAACGGGCCGCCGTCCGCCTCCACGCGGGGGGGCCGCCCTCCTCAAGTGCAGGGGGGGCCGCTCGCCCATCGGCGAGAAGCTCACGCAACACGGTCGGAGTACAGGTCAGCGCCTTGTCGCCCCGCGATTCGCTACTCATGCGTGATGGGGGTGGTGCGTAGGGGGACGGTCGGCTCACCTCCTCACTGTGAGGTTCTTCGCGGTTATCAGCCCCTGCCAAAACATGTGACGCGTGCAATTGGGCTGGTACCCCAGGGCGAATAGGCACGAAAGCCCCATGGGACTTATGGACCACATGGCCCCGCCACTCCACCAAATGCATGATGATCCCCGCGCCTGGAAGCTCAAGGTGGCTCCAGCGTGACGGGCGTAGCTGAACGCCACGGCCCTGGGCAAGGTGCCGCGGGGCGGGGCCCAAAAAGACGAACCGGCATGCTGACACCAAGCCGTGAAGCGTACATGTCATTGTCAGTGTCCCCGCGGCGGAGGAGGAGGAGAAGAGAAAGACCACTATTGAAACAAATAAATTCAATGCGAAGCCAGATGACCCAGAGTGTAATCCAACGCGAGCCGGGAGCTCCTCCCACGAAGCGCCTGCCGCAACCCGAACCAAGGGTCGGCGCTCTTGCGGCCCAGGGCGTGGTGAAGCCCTTTGCGGAACTCCTTCGCGCGGGTCTCGCGGGCCTCGACACCGAAAACGCTCTGGCCAGCCACAGACCGCCGAGAACAGCCTCGACACCTGCAACCAACCCGGCTCCAGGCGCCGTCTGCCAGCTGCCCCCTCGAAATCCTCCGCCGCGCTTGCAGCTGTTGGTGCGCGTTGGGCCCTCGCAGCGGTTGGTGTGAGTCGGGCCCTCTCGGCTTCTGCTACAAGAGAAGTCAGGGAGCCCCGACGCGTCGAGCCCAAGATGCGTTCGTTCTTCTGGCCGAGTCCCTGCGGTTTTGGCCTTCCGTGCAAGAAGTGGTCCCAAATTCAAAGCTTGGGGAAGGGGGGGGTCCGTGAATCCTCCCCCGCCCCCCCCCCACACACAGAAATGCGCTCCCCCCCCCCCCCGCTCGCCCGCCCGAGCGCGGTGGCGGAATCGCGCGGCAGCGCAACTGGATACAGTGGAGGCCAGTCCACAACAAAAACCTTCCACAAGAAAGCCAACCCTGAGACCCTAGGACGTCCATCGACGTTTGGTGTGGGAACGTCACGCTTTCCATAGCAAAACCATCGAAACTCAAGAAACCCAGGGCACCCCAGAGGCAAGCAGGGTGTTTCTTGGCATGGGCCCCGTACT